CAGATCTCAGTAACATATCTGAAAAGGCATAATTTTCAATTTAAGAAAATAATACTTTGATTGATTAAATTCTAAATCCGAAGAAGAGATAGGATTTGGCAAAGACAAACACAAAGTGATAAAAATTAAAACGGTACAAAAAAGCGCTAATTAAGAGCATTTTTTTTTTCTTCTTACGTGGGAATATCGATGACCTACCATTTACCTCTATATGCCAACGAAAATTGCCATTTCACTTTTTTTTTTCCCTGTATTTTCCTCTTTACATTTGAGTGGATTTGGTGTGAAGTCTTCTGAAAATCACTGCAGAAAAAGCCACAAAGACATTAATTTATTTCTCATGATTAGTACCATCCAATTTCAAAAGATGAATAATTTTAAACAGAATTATAAAAAGATAGTACATAATAATCAGTCTTATCCCACTGAACCACAACACTGCAAAAGCTCATGTGAAATAGATTTAGACCTCAATGACTTTCCCTTTTTATTTTATTTTTTGTTTCTCACAACAATATGAAATCATTATGATCAAAATAGACCTGCACATAATGTTCCTCTAACCAGTGGTTTTTTTTTGCAGAATTGATGTCAGCTTCTGTAAATGTAAAATTATATTATCCTGTAGATTAGTCGGGTGGTAAAAACCCGGACCTCTCCGATTATCAAAAAAAAAAAAAACATAACTTGAAATTTTGATTTTGATGAGTGGAAATGTAGTTATAGACCCATCTGAATACCTATAGAATATGGGAAAATCATTGCTTTTTTCTCTCACTTTGATATCCCCACAACTATTAACTGTTCACAGATACTCTTTTTTCTCTCTAATGAACAGAGAAAAGTGTTTTGTAATAGTTCTTTCTTGTCTATATTAGGCACCCATACATATCCCAAAGTTAAAGAAGAAAATTAAATTTTTTTAAAAAGAAGAGAAAGAAAGCCAACTGCCCAAATCATTTATGTAGTTTGGTTGGGGTTAGTGGACAGATATCATATCCAACATGGAACAGGATTTTATAAAGCATATATATATATGTTTAGTTTAATCTTAATGTATACATGAAAGTTCTCT